TGCAGTATGTTGGAGGGTTGCCCTTTCAATAAATACCTTCACAGAATTGGTGAGGATGGGGGAGGCCTCTCAAAATAGAGCAGAATTGGCAGCTGCGTCAGTGGCGAGAAGGAACGCGACAATGGAATCGCTGCTGATCAATACTTTGATTGGCGAATGAAGGGCCGTGTTGCTGCTACTGCTGCTGCAGTGTGTCGCATCGTGTTCGCGTTTTTCGTGGCGGAGGCTCCAAGATCATTCGAGGCTGTTGGTTTTTTTCATCTGCACCGACTGTCTTAGAAGTCTTACCGAATGAGGGAGGCCTGATTGTCCTGCATTTCGCCGGCGAAGTAGTCCGAGAGAGAGGCGTACTTCTTCAACTACAGATCCGGGCCCTGTGGACAGTACGCGCTCCAGATTTAGCGCAATGACAAAGTGTAGCTTCGCGCGCTTCGTTGATCCCGTGCTATGAGGTTTACCAGGTGAGCAATCAAAATTCGCTCGGGGGAGTGGGGACCCATCCTTGTGGCTCGTCACATTGACCACTTTCTTCATCAGCATTCACTGGTGACCACTTCACTTCACTGCGGTACTTCCGGACCCTGCGCAGCTGCCAGGTGACGCGCAAGAATTGCTCTTCGAAGTTCTTGAAAGCGTACCACGCTAGCGGCTCTTCTGATTGCTTTCCTGGTCCACGGACGCCGGCAAATACTTCATTCAGCCCCGAAGTAATAGTTTTTTATTTTGACGAGTTGTCTTTGTAATGCCATGCGCGCCGAGAGCAGCGTGGCAGCCTTTTTCCGCTCCCCGTCCCTCGTCGCACTTTCTGCTGCAACAACGCGCTGCATCGCACTTTGGTTGCGACGTGTAGCTTTATGCGTGGCTGGATAGGTTGTCAATAATGTGAGAATGCGGTAGACTGGTGAAAAGGTTACTGAAATCTGCTGTATGTATATATTCGATCGTACTGCCTAACTTGGAGAGCTTTTGAACCACAGTTAGTGAACTGGTAAAGCTGAAGTAAACGCGTCTCCATTGCGGAGGGCAATGCGCTTGCGGCATCCTGCTGCGTCTGAGAAGAGCCGCAGTGAGTGCCGGGGAAAGCGCGGGCGAATACGCAGCAATGGAGGGTGCGCGGATAAGATTTAGCGACTGTTTCATAGCGCACAATGCCCTTGCCATCCCTTTCTGGCAACGAAAAAAACCACCAAGATAATCGACACTCTGCTGCTAATTTGCACGATGCACAGCGCAACTGCAGGCGGCCGATGCGATCAGATGGAAGGAAGCGGTTTATTCGATGGTCGTTTTCAGGCTGCTGGATGAATGCAGGGGCATCTTCAGTGCAGCGACAGTTAAAGGAGGACTGGGATAATCGCAGCTACGCGCAGGAAATCTCCGACAATATCCGACACACTGCCGACTTCCTCAGCAACTTTGGTTTGCTTTTTAAGTGCACCGCTCAAATACGCCTCGGCGCGGTGTGGAAGTAACGCTTGAGTCTGGTTTAGTCTTACGTTGGGCGGTCCCCCGTGTTGTGGGATAGAACGCGCAGCGGGAGCTCGAGACACAAAGACACTTTTGGTTCTTGTCATTCGGGGGGGGGGG